ATATACAACAAATCATTTCTTATACTTATTCATCGAGAGGGGGGCCCCCCTCATACCCTTGGGGGCCCCCAGGGTACTGTGTGGGGTTGCTGCTGCTTCGACTTGAGTTTATATTTATTTATAAAATTTATTTATTTTTGTTTTTTTTGTTTTGTTATAGTTGAGGCGGGAGTTTGTTTTCTTGTTGTTATTAGGGTTTAGGGTTTAGGGTTTAGGGTTTAGGGTTTAGGGTTTAGGATTTAGGGTTTAGGGTTTAGAGGTTTTATTGTATTGGCGAGATGAAGGCGAAGCAGAAGCTGAAGAAGAGCGCGAAGAAGGCAGCTCCTGCTGCTGCTGCTGCTGCTGCTGCTGCAGATACCCCCCCTGCTGCTGCTGCAGCAGCAGCAACAGCAGCAGCAGCAGCAGATGCAGCAGCAGCAGCAAAGCCAGGCAAGCGGCTAGACAAACGTTTTCTTGCTGCTTCGGATCCACGCTTCAGCATCAACAGCGCAGCAAGGAAGCAGCAGCAGCAGCAGAAGGCGCTGCAGCAGCAGCACAAGCAGCAGCAGCAGCAGCAGCAGCAGCAGCAGCAGAATGGCAGCTCCTCCTCACAGCATACGAAGCGTGAGGCGAAGCTAGAAGCAGCAAGGGAAGCAGAAGAGAGAGCAGCAGCAGCAGCAGATGCAGCAGCAGCAGGCGCCAGAGGAACAGCAGCAGCAGCAGCAGCAGCAGCAGAAGCAGAAGCAGAAGCAGCAGCAGCAGCAGCAGCTGCATGCACTGACCCCCGCTTCTCTCGCATCTTCACAGACCCAGCCTTTCTTGTGGGGCGGGGGCTGCAGACATCCTCAATAGATAAATACGGCCGCAGCAGCAGCAGCAGCAGCAGCAGCAGCAGCAGCAGCAGCAGCAAGAAGAAGCAGAAAAAAAAGAAAGCTATACAAACACCGAGAGACAGAGTTGCTGCTCGTATAGCCAAGGAAGAGCTGCTGCAGCTGTATGCACCAGCAAATGAAGATGCTGCTGCTGCTGCTGCTGCTGCTGCTACTACTACTACTGCCGAACACAGCAGCAGCAGCAGCAGCAGCAGCAGCAGCGAAGACAGCGACAGCGACAGCAGCAGCAGCAGCAGCAGCGAGGGGGAGGAAGAGAGCAGCGTATGGGGGGCGCCAGAAGATGTGCCTACGGTACTGCTGCTGCTGCTGCTGCTGCTGCTGTTGTTGCTGCTGCTGCTGCTGCCTCTGCTGCTTCTGCTGTTGCTGCTGCTGTTGTTGTTTTTGCTGCTGCTGTATGGGGAGATGAACAGTTGCTGCTGCTGCTGCTGCAGCAGCAGCAGACACTTGCTGCTAGCTTTGTATTTATTCTAGCAGCAGCAGCAGCAGCATGATTTTTTCTTGTCTTGTACTGCGCTGCTGCTGCTGCTGCTGCTGCTGTTGCTGCTGTTGCTGCTGTTGCTGCTGTTGCTGCTGCTGCTGCTGTTGCTGCTGTTGCTGCTGCTGCTGCTGCTGCAGGCGACA